CCCCCTGCTCCCCCTTCCTCCTCCTCCCCCTCCTCCACCTCCCCCTGCTCCCCCTTCCTCCTCCTCCTCCTCCACCTCCTCCTCCTCCCCCTCCTCCTCCTCCTCCTCCTCCTCCTCCTCCTCCTCCTCCAATGTGCGCGCTTCCGCGCGCGAGGGGCGAAGGGGGAGGGGGCGTAATTGGCTCGAGCTGTGGGGACTCGACCGTGTCTGACGGGGCCGTCATAACAAGGGCGGAACCCATGGGACGCACAGGGACATACTAATACTACATGGCCTCCTTGGAGGCGCGCGTCCGACCCGAGCATACAGCATACCCATATTGTGGTGTGTCATTTCCCGAGCCGTGCCGCCAGAAAGCGCACGCCACGGCGCATACACTAGAAGATTTCTCGGTACGCGCGTCGCCCATGGGGGGCGACGCACATATAGTACAAGTATGTTGGGGGGACGCCGAAAGAACCGTGGGAGGGGGACCGACGGAATATCGGCACGGTTCGCGAACATCCGTGGCCTGGGCTGGAGCAGCACGTCATACATGCGGGCCAAGTTAACATCCTCTGAGTCCTGGACTGTTGGGAGAAGGATGGAAACACGAGACGGAGCGGATATGGATAAACATCGGGCCTCTCGAGAGGCTAGATATAGCCATTGCGTCTCTGGTTCCCGTGGGCAGAAAATCCGAACATGCGATCAACAGTGGATATGGAAATAAAGCCTCCCCGCCATGCACGCACACACGTATCTAGAAACGATAACGCAGTACTGGCGCATATCGGCGTGAGCCCAGGGCGGAACCAGACAGGAGCTTGCGTTGGTCATCTACGCAAGTTCTGCCTAATGGATCCTAGCTCATTATTGCTGCAAGGGGGCTGGTGGAGATAGTGTCCCGAAGCCGAACTCACTGGTGAACCCACCCTTCCTCGAGGAAGCGACTATGGTCGAGAGCAGCACAACGCAGCGCGATGCAAATGCCATGCAAAGCAGCGCACTACCACGTGAGGCAAAGCAGATCAGCGCATTGGAGTGCAGGACCGTGCATTGCGAAGCAGTCCAAAGCAGCGCAGAGCAGCGCAACGCAATCGACAAAGCAATGGAAAGCGATGCAAGGCAGCGCAAACGAGCACAACAGCGTAATGCAAACCGACCGCTGCGAAGAGCATGGACAGTGGAGCAGTGCAGGGTGACTCGGTCTAACAAAATGTGCCGAGTTGCAACTCGACACGATGGAAACCAAGATCAGGCGTGGCAGGTCATAACAAAGCCAAGCTCATCATAACGGACGAAGTCAAGGAAACGCCAAGCAGGCAATACAATGCGAAGGTATGCGCTGTCATTCACATCAGCGCACTGCTATGCGTAGCAAAGTATTTCAATATGAGCAAACCAACGCTACGCAAAGCCGGGCAGGGCGAATCAGAGCAACGCCATAACGTGTACCGAAGAACCCCGTTGAGTTAAAAGGATGGGTGGTAGCCTGTTGTGGATTACAACGTGTCTGCGCAGATATAATACTACCAGCCCTGTGCGAGTAGGAACGTTAACGAATTGGCCCTTCCAAACTCACGATGCCCCTTCGGGGAGAAGTTCGCCTTGCCCGCTACCCCCCATTCCCTGAGTGTGGAGGGGGGGATCGGCTCCTTGGAGCGTCCAAAATGGCTTAAGACTTGGCTCCGAGAGGGCCCCAGTTAGCCCAAGACGGCCTCCCAGATCGCACAATGTGTTCAAAGATAGCTCAAGGTAGCTTCCAACATGTCTCCAGGAGGCACCATGATCGTCCTGAGGCGGCTCCAAGTAGCCGCGGAGTCTCCCACGAACCACCCCAGTGAGAGGCCCAACCCATTCTAACACCGAAAGAACATCAATATGTTTTGTCGTATCGCCGTATGGGATCTTGAGGCCTGATGATGGCTCCAAAATGGTCCAAGGCAGCCCCAAGATGGGCCCAAGACGGCCTCAAGAGCGCCCAAGAGCGCCCCAAGAGCGGCCCAAGATGGCCCGATGAGACATTGTTTCGGTTTCCCCGACTGGGGGGGGGGGGGCGTGATTGAGTCCGCCGGAGTGGCCTCGAGAGGTCCTCGAGGAGGGCCCCAGGAGGGTCCCAAGAGAGCCCGAAGGGCTTCCAGAATTGCCCACAGATGCCCAAGTCAGCTGCCGAGAAACTCCAATACCGAACGATCCGCGAAGGTGGCTGTGGTAAGCTCCTAGGCCTGCTCAGGCGGATCCCGAACTTTCGGTTTGACAGCTGCCCCTCCTCGTTGCGCTGCTCGCTCCTGCGCTTCCCTGCTCAGGGCAGCTCTACCTACCAGACCACCCCAACCCAACCCGAAGACCCGAATTTGACCCGAATTTCGGGTTGGGGGGGGGGGGGTACGGGTTCCACGTGTTTTTTCAATGTTCCCCGGCCCCCCCCCCCACTGGAAATCGCGGATAAATTTCGGCCTTCGGGTTGGGTTGGGGTGGTTTGGTGGGTGGTGAAGCTCGCCAGGGCATCGTTTCGGGACGGGCTTGTGGGGATGCGTTCTTGATCGCGACCGCGCCGAAAGCAGTCGGGCGGCGTCCAAGGGCGCAAGTGGCCAAGCGGCGGCCTGAATGGCGCGCAACAGGAGGAGGAAAAGCAACGAGAGAAGAAGCGGAGGAGGAAGCGGAGGGAGGAACGAATAGGAGGCGGGCCTCGCTGCCGCTCAGGGGGCGCCGACGACCGGGAAGAACTTCCAGACGGGGTGCATCGCCAAAATGGGGGGAATTAAGGTTGAACCACACCTCGAGCGTGTAGATTTTTTGGGATACGTTTTTTTAATGTGCGGCCCGCAAGGAAAAGTCCAGAGGGCGGTATGAGGCAAAGGGGCGCGATGCCAGAAGATTACCATGCAAAACCACTGAACGGATGCCACGATCTTGGGGGATACTTTTTTTTACAGCCGCAGGCGGAAGCGCCAGCGGCGGGAGGTCGCGGGCGGGCTACGGCCGCGACTAAATTGCCTAACGCGCGCGGGGCCGCGGATCAGGCGGCGGGGGGCGGCAGCGCCCAGGGCGGCAGAGCCGACGTGCAATCCAGGGAGTCTGAGACAGCCCCTGGACGGGCATGCAACGGTGCATCCAACGAGCCTGGGGACGATTGTTTGGGATACGCGTAGCGACATGAACTCGGACGCGCAGCGTGGGACAAGAGATCCCTGGCTCACGAAGCGGCGGAACCTGTGCGAGGATATCAACACCATGCTAGGACGCGGGACAAGACATTACGTGCCTCCAAGGCGCGGGACCTGACCCCTCCGACGGGCGGTGGCGGCGGCGAGCTGCAGTCAGGCACGACGGCAGGTCCGCGAGCATGACGGCGCCGCCACGGAGGCGGGAGACGAACAGAAGCAGCAACAGCAACAGAAACGCCCGCAGCCACAACTACGGCTTCCTGAGGCGCCCGTGGGCCCAGGAGCCCACGCCCGCCCCGGCGTGCCCGATCCCAATGCGTCTCCTTGACGGCCGAAGACTGCTCCCTGGCTCTGGCACGTACGTACGCCCAGTCACTGTCCCCTGCGGTCGGCGTTGGAAAGATGGCGTGCAGCGTCCATCTCGAAAAAGCACGCCGCCCCTGTGAGACGAGCCCCCCGCGAGGGGCCCCTTCTGCGCACGCCACCCATCCCCCTTCCCAGGGCTGCTTCGGTGCGTGCGGTCCTCGAGGTGGGGGGGGCAACGTGCAAGAAGCGAGCTGGCGGCGCCACATCGCACGCTTATCGTTTCAGCGCCAACCGCACACGCTCCCGCGTGCCCCATGGCCTCCAGAGGGCCATTGGGCCCTTCCAGCTAGCCTGTCGGGCGGCGGGGGAAACTGATCGGGGCACCGCGGATCCAAGGCACTCTCAGGGAATTCATCTCCTGAAGACCCCATATGCATTTACATGGCATGTCTGTGCACTTGCATTGCGTTGCTCTTCAGGGGGGAGTCCTCGAGGCAATGCGGGTGAGGGTTCCCCGAGGAAATGCGGGAGGGCGGGTCCTCAGGGAACCTCGCCCCGAGGCAAAATTCCAACTTGCCCTCCTGCACAAGCAAGTTACGACCCCTTACGCAAGGTCTGACTCGGGACATGGATTTTCGACATGCAGCGTGGCCAGGCATTATCATAATTACGGCGCACCAAAGCACACTCGAGAGCAATGCGAGCGATCCTCTCGCTTCAATGGGCCAACTGCAGGAATGGCGGCAGGTCACATAACTGAGCATCAACTGAATAGATGTTCTAGGAGTGATGATGCGATTGTACGCGAGGCCCGAATCTGACAAAACAATATCAACATGAACTGTCAGAGGTCCGCGCGGACTTCTTGGACAGGCGCTGAACTCCCCTCCCCGTCGCGCGTGGCGCACCAGGGACGGCGCCCGAGGCGCCGCCAAAGGGTGGGCAAGCGCCGATCCGAGAAATTCACGCGGGCCTCCGAGAGGTTTGTCTGTGCAATTTTTCTCGGCGGCGCGCCCAGGGGGGAAGCGAGAGGGGGCGGGCCTTCTCAGACGGCTCAGAAGGCCCCGGGTCTTCTGAGAAGTGTTCAAGCCGTCCCCGAAAACACAAAACTCTTATTTTTGATTATACTTTTATATTTATATATATATACAAATGTATATATATATATATAACAAAACACTTCTCAGAAGGCGCCAGTGCTTCAGAGAGGTCCCGCCGCCTTCTGAGAAGGCCTGCTCCCTCCCACGGTCCCCCCCCCCCGGCGCGCAGCCGATTCTGTCCATGCAATCATTCCTCTTCGCAGGAGTTGAAGGGGCCCTGGGACACACAAGTAAATACACACAAATAACAGGATTCCCCATATGCTCCCATATTTTCTGGGCTTCTGTCTTCCCCCCCCCCCCCACTTCCCATATTTTCCCATATTCTCTGGCGAATCGACGATTCATTGTGTCTGTGTGTTCGTTTCCCTCCTGATGAGTCCGGGACGACGGAGTGGAAGACGAGACGAGCGACAACAAGAGCCGCCCTGCCAGGCAGCGGAGCTGTCTCTGGCAACGGCGTCGGCGCGAGGCGGGCATGTCCGTCACCACTGCCAGGGAGCTGGCACTTCGGGGGCCTCGGCAGGCGGTGGATGTGGATGCATTCGCCCCCCCCCCAGGACCCGCATCTATCCACATGGCCCCCCGCCCAGGTCCCCAAAGATCGCTCCCCCTCGGCCGCGGCGATGTGCACAAAGCCTCGCCGCGGAGTCGGGCGGGCAGCACGGCGGCGATCAGTCGGAGTCGGAGGGGAGGTACTGGAGCTTCGGCTTGTCCTCGTCGTCGTCGACGTTGGCGAACTTCTTCTTCTTGCCCCCGGCGCTCCTGCGGCGGCGGGCCGTTCTCTCCCCGCGGGGGCCGGAAACAGAGGGGAGGGGGGGCGAGCCGAGCGGCCCTGCAGCCCTCCCGTCTGGAGGGAGGGGGAGCTGCGGAGAGGGAGCTGCGAAGAGGAGGAGGAGGAGGAGGAGGAGGAGTGCGGAGGAGGAGGAGGAGGAGGAGTGCGGAGGAGGAGTGCGGAGGAGGAGGAGGAGTGTGGACGAGGAGGAGGAGGAGGAGGAGGAGAAGGACGGCGGCCCCCGCCGCGGGGGGCCCGCGGAGCGCGCATTGTCGCGGCCCGCGGAGTCGGCGGCGCAAAGGTGGAGGGGTCTCCCGGGCGAGGGGCCGCAACCGACCCCCGACCTTAGTGGGCCCCGGAAACGGCAGGGCCGTTTTTTCACCGTTTCCGAGAAAATGTCCCTTGAAAATGGAAACGGCAAAAAAACGGCGACCGGAAACGGCAAAAAAACAACTCCAGGAAGGGAACCGGAGCCGGAACCGGTCAAAAAACGGCGACGGAACCGGTAAACAACGGCGTCGGAACCGGCAAGAAAACGGCAAAACGGAAGCGGTAAAAAAACTGCCCTGTCGTTTCCAGGGCCCACTAAGCCCCCGACCCCCACATGAGGAACTTTAGACCAACTGCAGCGGGGCTCGGTTGGGCAAGACGCGCAAAAGGGACACAAGACCCGTCCGAGGGCCGCAAATGCCACCGGAATGTGGGAGGCATGGGTCGCGAGACACAGGGAACAAATGATACCCTTGATTTGGCAGGGTCGACCTACGAATCTGGGCCGACTGTAGACCGCGCGCTCGGGCCCCCCCCCCCTGCGGCAGCTGGCAATGGCCGCCCTTGCAGAGCGCCTACGTCTAGGCACTCTCGCTATAACTGTAAAACGCTGACGTCTAAAGTCTATTGTTGTGGGGGCTGGGGTCGGTTTCCCACTGTTAAGAGAGGGCGAGGGAGGGGAGGCAAGGGGCTGGAATGGGCTGCCCCAGCGGAGGGGAGAAGGCCTCCTCCCGTATCCGTGTCCAACTCCCTCACGGATGCTATCGAACAGGTCGCAGGCCTGCTGCGAGGTGCTGGAACGGCGCCTCCGAGGCAGACGGGAACTCGCGGGAATGGCGACGATGCGGCGGATCATGATCCAAGACTTATTGATCGTAACAAGGCAGATTTTGATGACCGTCGTGATTTGCTCGTGGTTTTCCTTAAGCCAGCGAGATGCTTGCACTAGGTAGAGGCTCAGAGCAGTGACGCTGTCGCGAGTGGTGCCTTCATGGAGACGGCACGGCTCAGAGGCAAGGCTCGTCAGCGGTGGCAGGGCACTCTGGGAGGCTCACGTGCCGCCGCAGCTGGAGCCGACATCTGATAAGAAGGATGAGGAGGACGTCGAGGAGGAGGGATGAGGGGAAGGGAGGTGGAGTCTGAAAAGGGAGGGAGAACTGGGGAACCAAAAAATATCGATATCGCTGCTCCCCAGAACTCACCTCCGGAACGTTCTGGCCAGGATCTCGAGGCGAATCCAGCCGAGACGGCGAGGGAAAGGTGGCGACATCGGTACCCCCAGATCTCTAGCGTCGTGCGTTGCTCACAACATGGGCTCCCCAAGACCGCCTGTTCATCGCCGACAGTCTCTTGACGGTCCCTGGGGCCCCGAAATGGGGCCCCAGAGGTCAAACAACCGCAGACAGACTCCAGTCACGATTTCTTCCAAACAAGAGGTGGGGGCCCCTCCTCCCCCTTGGGAATGGTGCGGGACAGAGCTGGCCAGGGAGCGTGCGCTCCCCCCCCCCTCAGACGCCGCCGACTGGAGGAGGGGCACGGGACCGAGGACCGAGGTCGGCGGCGGAGGATAGAGGACCGGGGCCGAGTGGGAGGAGGAGGGGGAGGAGGAGGAGGTGGAGGAGGAGGAGGGTGAGGAGAAAGAGGAGGGTGAGGAGGAGGAGGAGGAGGAGGAGGGAGGAGGAGGAGGAGGAGGAGGTGGATGGATGGGAGGAGGAGGAGGAGGAGGAGGAGGAGGAGGAGGAGGAGAGGGAGGAGGGGAGGAGGAGGAGGAGGGCCAAGGACGGAAGGATCAATCGTGGGCATCCCCCCCCTCCTTGTGTGCCCCCCGAGAGGGCGGAGGGTCGCGGCAGGAGGCTCCTGGCGGCCTGCTGTGGCCGGTTCTCCTTCTCCTTCATCTCGGAGAAAGGCAGGTCCTGCAACGCCGGGCCCTTCCGACCAGAGCTCCTCCTCCTCCTCCTCCTCCCCTCCTCCTCCTCCTCCTCCTCCTCGTCCTTCTCCTCACCCTCCTCCTCGTCCTCCTCGTCCTCCTCCTCCTCCTCCTCGCTCTTCGCTCCGCCTCCTCCTCCTCCTCCTCCTCCAGCAACCACGCTGCTCGACCGATTCCACTGGCAGCAGGACAGGCCCTTTTCCCAGCAGCCACAGCTGGGGTCTTCTCGCACTCGCCTCGCGTTTGAGCCGTGGCTGGGAGAGATTAAGATACTGGGCTGGAATCCTCAGGGCGCCCGCGGCGACAGGCTGGAGGAGATTTTTTGTCGTGCAGGCCGTTCGACTTTGTCTTGACCCAGGCGCGTAATCGGCAAGCAGAGGAACCCCTCAGCGCCACGTTCAGGGACATTGAATCATTGAGAATGAATACAGTCCAGGTCGTTACACCAACAGTAGCACGGGCTGCGCGGTGGTGCTGAATCGTAGCTATCGCTTGAAGGATAACCGCATGCCGATGATAATAAAGGGACCCCCCCCTTCAGTGTTTAGAGTTGATTATCGTCGCCCTATACAAAATTCAAATTGGGCGGCGAGCGCTGAGGCCGAACTTCATTATCACCTCGAAACGCTATGTTGAGATAGCAACATCAAGCGATGTTGATATAGCAACATCAAGCGAAGCGATCACACTTTTTCAGGATGTGTCAAGCGAAACCAATAATTTTGGGAGGCAGACTCAAACGAAACGAGCAATGTTCTTATTATTATTCTACTTTCCTCTTCTTCTTTTATATTTCTATCTGTCCTCACGCTCGCCTGAACTTTTTTATCCCTGGGGTTGATTATCCATGGAAAATGAAGCACATGAGCTACCCTACACGAGCACTTAAAAAAATCAATGTTCATAAAGCGTTTGTAAATTAAACTTGATAGATTTGGAACTTTGGATTTTTACTTTCTTCGTCCTCTTCTTATTATCCTCTTCTTATTCTTTATTACTACTCTTCTACTGTATTCTTATTATTTTATATTTCTCTCTGTCCCCACGCTCGCCTGAACTGTTCTTATCTCTGGGGTTGATTATCCATGGAAATTGAGGCACATGAGCTACCCTACACGAGCACTTACAAAAAACAATTTTCATGAGAGATAAGCCATTGTTGAGGATATTTCTTTGAAAACTAAACGCCAAGGATGTCTCAAAACGTGCTCGGCTTGGTCTCCTCTTGATCATCTCTTACTTCGAGATTATGCTGAGGTCTGCTGGGCTACTTTATTATCTCTCCCTGAACCCCGAACTTTATTATCCCCTAGTGTTTATTCTCACGGGCATGAGGTTATTGTTCGAGTGTGGTCGAGTCCGTCGGGTGCAGGGGGTCGTTCACTGGCGGTCCGAGTCAACATAATTTGCCAGGACTACGGCCTCGCTGTGCTGCACTTCCCTCCACAGCCGAGGTGGTCGTCTGAGGTTCCCCACTACCTCGAGACGGTGCGCATCCTCGGCTCCTGGCTCGACGAGGTCCGCAACTCCCTCCCCACTCGCTGCTGTCCAATGGAAAACACGGGCGCTAACGACGGGATCGGCCTCAGTCGCGAGTCGTCGAAGTGACAGTGGGTGCAGGACGGGGTCGTGGTCGAGGCAGCGGCGACGTGTAAAGCTCGACGGCTCCTCCCTCCCCAGCGCTATATGCTACATGCTTGCCTACAAGTTACTTGCCTCCCCCATGGCAAACCAGAGTCATGTCAGTCACCCTCAGACGCATTGGTATGTTTACATTTTGCCAGAGCCGATTCTGGGTATGAAACTTCATGCCCAAGGTGCTTCCTCGGCCTGGGCAGACGACCGTCACGGCAGGGCTTCTCGGGGCAGCAGGACTCGCCAGACAAGGGTGGCAACAGCTCGTCGCAGAAAGGCGGCCTTTTGCCATGCCAGCTTTCCGCCGGCGGGGGGGGCCACGTGGTACTTGCGCCACACTCCGCCGCCCTGCCGCCGCCTTCCGCCAAGGAAGAGGTGGCAACGCCGTCGATCCTCGAAGGCAAAGCCATTTCTGGAACGCCCTCAATTCAGGCGGCCAGCTGGGTGTAGTATGCAACTTCCTCCCCAGACCCCGTCGTCATGGTTTGTTCAGAACGTCGATTCCCAGAGGTTTGAGAGAGCGCGATCCACCATCGTTTGCCTGAACTAGATGCACCAGGGGGAAACCCCCCAAATCAAACAAACCATAGGGGGTGAATGATCAACCCCCCTTTCGCCTCCCGCCCCGCCCCCCTTGCAAAGGAGAGCTGGATTCCCCCCCCCCCCCGGGAAAATTCCCCGGTGAAGTCCAGGCCCCCCAGGGGCAACGATTCGGAGACTCCAGATACCCCGCGCACCCCCCCACCCCCCCACATCCCCCGGCCCACTGGCAACGGCGGCGGCGACGACGACGACATCAACGACGACGCCTACAACGACGCCGACGACGGCGGCAACATCAGCGGCGGTGACGGCGACTCTGTCGCGGGCGCCCGCGCCATGCGCCGGCTCTGATAGAATGCTACTAAGGCTTGATTCAGCTCCCGGGCTCGATCCAGCTCAATTCGGATCCTGCTGGTGAGATTGGGTCCAGCTCTGATAACATCCCATCAGGGCTCGATCAAGCTCAAATGCAGTCATGCAAGGGGTCGGTCCAGCTTTAAAATAATCCAACGAAAGCTCAGTCCAACTCTGCTGGGTCCAGCTCTGACAGCGTCATACTAAGGCTCAATATATCATCAACGCAATCCTGGCAAGGTTGGATAAGGTGGGATAAGGTTGGATGACGGTATGACAGACTCTTAGTAAGGTCGATCCAGTTCTTTTGAATACTCAGATGCCCGAGTATTATAAAATACTATGATGCCCGGATTCTGCTTTCAAACAACCTCACCTGGGGTCGATCCAGTTCTAATAGAATTCCACTGGGACTGGATCAACATCCAACAGAATCCTTATAGGACTGGATCCAGCTCTGAATCGCTCCTACTGGGGCTCGATCCAGCTGTAGCAGAATCCTGCGAGGGTTCCATCCAGCTGCAGTGACTTCTTTCGAGGAGTCGGCCAAGCTCTCTCAGAATCTACGAGGGCTCGATCCAGCGCAAATGGAATCCAACGAGGGCTGGAATCAGCTCGAATATAATCCTACTAAAGCTCGATCCAGCTATAACAGAATCCTATTACCGCTAGGTCAACCTCTCGTAGAAGCATGTCAAGACTGGATGCAGGTCTGATGGGATTCTACAGAGGCTCGATTGTCAGCACTACGATGGCTATATATATATATACACACTCTTGAATCCAGCTCTAATACAAACTTACCAGGGCCCGATCCATCTGTAACTCTTACTAAAGCTGGATCCAACTCTGATCGAATCCTGCGGGGGCTCGATCCAACTGCAATGGAATCCTCCAAAAGCTCGGTCCAGCTTTAAACGCAACCCATGAGGCTCGATTGTCGTCGTTATCGTCGGCGTCATCGTTGTAAGCGTCGTCGTATTCGTCGTTTTCGCCGTCTTCGTCGTTGTCGGTGTCGTCGTCGACGTCGTCGTCGTCGGCGTTGGCGTCGTCGTCGTCGTCGTCGTCGTCGTCAGCGGCGTCGGCGTCGGCGTCGGCGTCGGCGTCGGCATCGTCGTCGTCGTGCGTCGTGCGTCGTGCGTAGTGCGTCGTCGTCGTCGTCGACGTCGTCTTCGTCGTCGTCCGCATCGCTATGGTGGCGGCGGCGACGTCGTCGTCGTCGTCGTCGTTGCCGGGGGTACCCCTCGAATCAAGAATTTTCCGTAGGGGGGGGGGCGTTGGACCAGTCCGACTACTTTCCCCCAGGGGGGGATCTGGACCCCCCCCCCTCGGTGTTTGTTGTCGGAGGGGATTTTCACCGCCCCTTTGAAAGCAACGGCAGAAAACCTTCTGTCGGAGGTCTCGACCCATTCCCCGGGTCCGGCTTCCACCCTGAGCATGTTTCATGGCATAAGCATAAAAAAACTCGGAGGTCCGAGCGCATTCCTCGGATCGGCGCGGGAGGCGCCGCCAGGGAGATCACTCATGGTTCCCCTATTCTTGTGGACGGCCCCCAGGCCTGGTCAGAGGCCGAAGATAGCGCAAGGAGGAGGAGGAGGAGGAGGAGGACGAGGACCTCCCGTCGTGACTTCTGCACGATGTTTCACGAGGCTGCCGCGTCGCGCGCAGGCCTGCTCGGCGGAGGCGCCTCGCGGCCGAGCCCCCTCGGCTCGGCAGCTGATGGAGGAGGAGGAGGAGGGGGAGGAGGAGGAGGAGGAGGAGGAGGAGCGAGGAGCGAGGAGCGAGGAGGAGCGAGGAGGAGGAGGAGGAGGAGGAGGAGGAGGAGGAGGAGGAGGAGGAGGAGGAGGAGCGAGGAGGAGGAGGAGGAGGAGAGGAGCGAGGAGGAGGAGGAGCGAGGAGAAGGAGGAAGATATGGAGGAGAAGGAGGAGCGGGAGTGGGAGGAGGGGGAGGAGGTAGGGGAGGGGAGGAGAAGGACAGGGGGGGGAGGAAGAGGAGGAGGAGGAGGATGAGGAGGAGAAGGAGGAGGAGGAGGAGGAGGAGGGGGAGCAGGAGGGGGTAGGAGGGCAGAGGGGAGAGGAGGAGCAGCAGGAGGGGAGGGGGGAGGGGAGAGGGAAGGAGGAGAGCATCAGGAGGAGGAGGAGGGAAGAAGCCGAAGATGCCCAAAACGAGCATCGAAGAAGTTCGCTTCGCTGACGCTCTGGCTCGCGCTTGACGGGTCCTTCTTGGGCAGCTTCCTGCGGCTCTCGTACTTGGCCTTCGCCGCCTGGGGCAAAGCGGGCCGGCCCCGCAGGATGGAACACGGGAGGGTTGACGAGAATCAACGAGCGCGCACCGTCGGTATGGCAGACCGGCCCTTCGAGGGCATCGGGAGCGGCCAAGAGGGGGCGTCCAAGAGGGGGGGGGCGCAAATCATGACCGGCGGCATGTGCGCGGCCCACAGGTGGGCCAGGGACGTATTGAAAAAAAAGGAGGCGCCATAAAATCTAGGCAGATATCATGGCCCCCGCCACGATATCCCCCCCCTCCAGTCATCACCCCCCTCTTGGCCGCCCCCGAGGGCAGCGCGGGCGGGCTGGGGCCGGGAAAAGGGTCATGCCGCGGCGTCAGCGAACTTCATCTAGAATCGGAGTGGAGGGGCCCAGCAGCGGCGGCGGGAGTGGCCAAGGGCAGGGGGGATCGGGAAGGAAGGCCTGTTGGGGCGGCAACCTGTGATTTGAGCAGGGACCGACCGTCCCAGCATTCCTGTAGGCATACCACGACATGTTCCTAGAACCCAGAGATATTCTAAGAACAAAAACAATGGTCGTAGAACAATCCCGATGCGTTAAGACAAGACAGTCTCAGCCAGAAAAGTTCTGATAACAATTCGTGCAGACCACAGAAGGTTCATGGAACATTATTTGGTAGGCCTATCGGCGAGCCAGGACCCTTGAGTGATATACGACGACCTGTTGTTGTTCTGTCCAGGCACTGTTTCTCGATTTCGGCTTCCGAGGCCAAGTGTTGTGCCCCCCGACCATCAAAAAACGATCTGGGACGAAAAACTGCCCCCAGGGTCCCAGGGTAGGATCGGAAAATCAAGGGCCGCGCATTGAAAAGATCACATCGCGGGGTGTCTTGGACATGCGGAGGTCGGACGATGAACATGAAAAGATCAAGGACAATCCTTCTCAAGGGCGCCCCGCACTGACTGGCTGACGCACTGGCGTGCACATGTCAAGGGGCTGGGACCCATGAGGCCGGAAGACGGGCGGGAGGTCGGTGAGGGGCGAGGGGAGGAGCAGATGGAGGAAGGTAACACGACATGACCATAAACTGCCGGAACCCCTCGGGCAGACATGACCACAACCGTAACACGACAGAACCATAACCATACCACGACATAGCCATAACGAGAACCATAACTCTAACCATAACTGAGGAAGGCAGCACGACTTCCACAATTTAGCCTACTTTAGCCAAAACTTGGCCATAACCAGCCATAACTAGAGCCATAACTTAGCCATAACCATAAAACGGCACGGCAAAGTTCTCGGGTCGAAGCTGCACCCCCCCTCCCGGAAGCGCGGAGAGCGCGCGCCAGGCACGGCGCTCGAGGCGCGCGCGCCGCGAGGGGGCCCGGCGCAGAGCCAAGAGACCCGCGCGGACATCCGAAAGCTGATGTGCATGTCAGTGCTCGCCCCTCGAGAGTACAGTCGGGGCCTTGACCTAAGGAACCCAAAATAAGGAACGAGGCCCCTTTTCCGATCGAAAAACTAAGGAAAACCTGAGGCAAGCTGCGAAATAATCAAAGAACGCGGAGCCCCTCCCCAACGAAAAGGGTTCCTTCTTCAGGGCCCCGACTGTAGGGGGACGGATGGGGAGGCAGCCAACCGCAACACCCAAACCCCTGCTGCCCCTCGGACTGGACCAGTGGGGGGCTCACCAGAGAAGAGGCTCGCACGTGTGGCCGCCCAGAAGTTATTTTCTCTGGACGCTGGGCAAGCTTGCCTGCATGTAAGGGGAAGGGAGGACGAGGCCCCAAAGGAAGCTGGACCTCACGCAGGTCGGACCTCACTTGCAAGTCTCTTCGGCGCACGGCGGTTTGAGGAGGTGGCGGAGGGGGGGGGCGGGGGGGGAATGCCATGCAAGTAGCCTGCTTGAGTCTGAAGTGGAACGCCCTGGTAGAGGGGGAGGGCGGAAGGGGAAGAGGAGAGGAGCAGGGGCATCCATCGATCGGACGCAGTGGGCCGAACATGAAGCAGACGGCGTTGAAGGTAGATTAGGCTTTCGCCCGCCCTCCTGTAGCAGAAGGAGAAGGAGGAGCTGCTTGACTCTTGAAGAAGGACGACGCCTGGAGCAGGCTGGAACCTAGGAGTCCCATAGGACCCACTTACGACAGACGGCGGGCACCATTTCCAGGTTGAGCGCCGCGCAAGTGGCGATGCCCACGCTGTGCGCTCGTGTCTACCACGGGCGGCAGAGGGGAGGCAGCGCCTGCGTCTGCGTGCGTCCGGCGGGCGGGAACGAGGCGGTGCCCTCTCTGTGGGCGCGCATGTGGGGCGCGTGCGCGTGCTTCTTGGCGCCTGGTGCAGAAGGGCGGTGTCCGCGGCGCGTGCGCGCGAGTTCCCCCAAAGCTCAGCAGGGGGCGGCGCCCTGTGCACGCTGTTATGCGCGCTGTTGCTGGCAGGGTGCGGCAAGAGGGCGGCGCCCACACTCCGCGAGCGTTTTTCTGTTGCTGGAGACGGGAGGTGCGGCGTCCGGCGAGTGCTTGCAACGAGCGCGCAAGGGGCGGCGCCCGCTCTGCAGTGGTTTTTGCAGAACTCTCGTAAGCAGGATCAGCAGCAAAGGACGTCCAAGGTTCTATGAACTCAGTGGAGCCTCAAATGGCCAGCGGGGTGGCGGTTGCGCCTTTGACCCTGAATGAGAGAAGACACATACATGAAAACAGTTAAGAAGCCCTGGAATGCAGGCGCTGCTGGGGAACATCGGTCCATCAAAGGCTCTCCCCTCTCCCTCTTCTCCCTCACCACCCCGTGTCGCTGACGCGTCGAAAGAGCCCCGCCACGCCCACAACCCCACCCCCTCCCCCCCTCCTCCAAGCCCCGTCCTGCCCCTTCACCCTCTCCGTGCTGCCAGGGGTGATCCTGTCCTACAAGGTCCCAGCTCCTCGCGCTGTCTGGGAGCCCCTCGGGCCACCATGGGGCACGCGAGGGCCCTGCAGGCCGTCGATGGAAAAGCTGGAATCGCCCTGGGCCAGAGCCACTCCGGGGGGGGGGGGTCCGATGCAGCTACCCCCCAAGAAGCACCGCTACTTCAACAGAACTACGTCACTACATCGGATTGCAACAGAGGGGTGGGATCAATTGGAGCATCAACTCGTGAGGCACGCATTGTCCTGAGCGAGCCTCCGACGCGCGATGCCTCTCATGCGAGGCCATGGCCTCGCCCGCCTCGCCCTGAAGGGGCCCGGGCGCATGCCCGCGCAAGCGATCCGATCCGATCCGATCCGACCCGACCCCCCCCCGAAGAAGCGTTCCCACCAGGACTCGGAGGCGAGCCCAGTCCCGGCGACGAGGCGCCCTATGGGAGGCCAGCGACTGCGACAACGGGGGGACGGCATTGGCTTCGGTGCGCACGTCTCTGTTTTGTTTCTCTCTCTCTCTCTCTCTCTCTCTCTTTCCTGGATCTCCCGACCAGCATTAGGTCCTAAGGTCGGGCATGTCCCCCTGCAGGCGGATTTTGGACGAAGAATCGAGACTAGTCCAAAAATGTTCAAACGTGGTCAAAAGTGGTCGGGAAGCCGTCCCCATACCATTTTCGACTATGTCGGATTATTCCTCCTGGAGAGGGACGTGCCCGACTTAAGACCAGCATCCCCTCGAGGCGGCCCCCGGACCCCTTCCGGAGTCCATCCTGGCGCGATCTCCGGCGGCACCGGGGCCCGAAGAAAACGGCCTCCATAGACACCGGAAAAAAAAGGACGACAGGCACTCGACGACCCTCGCTTCTTTGGGCCTCTCTCACTGCGGGGAGGCGCACTGTTGCCCCCCATCGTACTTCATGACCACATCCCAGGCATGATTTCGAGCGCACAGGAAAGTCTCGAAACAAAGCCGAACGAGTATCGCCTCCTAGGGCCAGACACGCGGAAACCCTCCAGTTTCGGTACTTTCCTGGTGCTCGAAAGTCTTTTTGATGATCAAGGCTACAGAGGGGTGGAACATCATAATTCTTGCTGAGGGGAGGCGCAAGACTCGAGCTTGGAGGGCTCGAAATGGCCCGACGGGGCCGTCAGAATCACGACAAGACCCGGTCTAGAAACTCGACGCGAGCTCCCGCTGCATGCCATCAAACGGGAAAACTGAACCGACGAGATCGAAGACGGACCCGGTTCCAGCGAGCTCGAGTCTTACGTTTCCCCGACCGCGGGCCCTTCACCAGTTGACTTAGCTCAGGCGCATCACCCTACAGGGGGATTCTGGGCGAAAAACAAAACATATCAGAAAAATGATCAACAAATGTGCCAAAATTGTCAAAACAGATCGTCCTCAGACTACTTGTGGGGTCCAAAACCTGGAAAGCAGGGCGCTAGCAGGGCGCGCGAAGGCCTGCCGAAGGGCCTTGGACGCACCCGGAGAGAGCTTCCGAAGGATCTCCTGGAGAGCTTCCGGGCACGCATGTTGGGAAACGCTTAGAAAAGTGCGGGCAAGACTTATATCCATATCCAGCGCGTCTTGAACTTGTTGGGAAGAAGCGCCTCAAGGCCGAGGCGCACTGGATATGGATAAAAACGTAGCCTCTACGGCGGGCAAATTTGTCCATATACAGTGTGCCTCGGGTTTCTGGGGAAGGGCGCCCGAAACTCCATACTGCAGTGGATATGGACAGAAGTACTGCCCGCAAAAAGGCCTGCCGGAACTCGCTGCACCCCCAGGCGAATCGCCCCGGGGATTGTGCACGGAAGGGAACCAGAGCGAGCCCCGCGGGGCTACCCTGCGGTTCCGGCGTCTTAGCCTGAAACCCTCTTGGCCCCGAGAGAAGGAGGGAGGAGGGAGGAGGGAAGAGGGAGGTTGTTTGTTAGCCGAGAGGCACGAACAGAATAGTGACGAGAAGGGTGATACAACGACAGTGGAGGAGGAGGAGGAGGAGGAGGAGGAACAGGAGGAGGAGGAGGAGGAGGAGGAGGAGGAGGAGGAGGAGGAGGAGGAGGAGGAGGAGGGAGGAGGAGGAGGAGGGAGGAGGAGGAGGAGGAGGAGGGAAGAGGGAGGAGGGAGGAGGGAG